CTCAGGTCTCCCCGCCTGGAGGAGATCTCAGACATCGCTGGAGCTCTGACTCTGCTTTCTAAAGCAGCGACTTAAATCCTCCGGGGGCCGATAGATGAGAGAGATGAGAGCCCAGCCCTCGTTGCAGAGCGGGGCCTCGTGCTCACCCCTCCGCACAGCGCCTCAGAGAGTTCTACTGAGTTTGCAACCACCGATTGGTCCAAGGCTTACATTTTTCACTTAGAAGATTGATGTTCAGCAAGGCAGTGAGAGACTCTTACACTCTAAAAGGCCGATGGAAAAATATCCTCCGGTGACAATTAACAGCCACGACACAAAGGCCGTGATTTGTTTCTGTTCGCAGTGGCCAGAAATAGAAGCCGATGGAAAAATATCCTCAGGTGACAATTAACAGCCACGACAAAAAAGGCGGTGATTTGTTTCTGTTCACATTGGCCAGAAATAGATCTTGATTATTTTTTTAATTTTTAAAAATATTTAACTTTGAGCCCTGACCGGTTTGGCTCACTGGATAGTGTCGGCCTGCGGACTCAAGGGTCCCAGGTTCGATTCCGGTCAAGGGCATGTACCTTGGTTGTGGGCACATCCCCAGTGGGGAGTGTGCAGGAGGCAGCTGATCGATGTTTCTCTCTCATCGATGTTTCTAATTCTCTATCCCTCTCCCTCCCTCTCTGTAAAAAAAATCAATAAAATATATATTTTTAAAAATTTAACTTTGAAAGTATTACATATGTCTCCTTTTTTCTCTCATTGGCCCCGTCTAGCCCGCCCCTACATGCTGCCCCGGCTTCCAACACTCTGTTGTCTGTGTCTCTGGGTTATGCATATATATGCATACACATTCTTTGGTTGATCTACCCCACCTCCCACTGCCTCCAGAAATAGATCTTAATTTTCCTTCTTTCATTTATTTTTGGAGCTAGTGCTCTTCCCACTGTGTCATACTGTTTTGTTTCAAAAATGTTTGCAGGTATGAAATCCAAGTGTGCTCATCACTGGATCTTTGGATCTCTAAGGAATCAAGCATCATGTATTGTGGAAACTCTGTTAATCTCTAAAAAAGTGGAACATAGACTGTTTATATGTCCCCAACACAACATGCAGACATTTAAAAAATTTTTTTAAATATATATTTATTGACTTAAAAGAGGAAGGTAGAGGTAGAGAGAGAGAGAGAAACATCAATGATGAGAGAGAATCATTGATCAGTTGCCTCCTGCACATCCCCTATTGGGGATCAAGCCCACAACCCGGGCATGTGCCCTGACCAGGAATCAAACCGTGACCTCCTGGTTCATAGGGCGCCGCTCAATCACTGAGCCACACTGGCTGGGCCGTGCAGACACTTTTGTTCACATGATTATGTAATACTTAGGGACAATAAATCCATCTCATTTTACTGATTTAACAACTGAGATCCTAAAACTATCTGGCTCTTCAGAGTGAGCCACGCGATCCCTTTAGTTTCCATTGTCAGGGAAATTTATCTCGATTTTCTGCAAGAGCGTTGGGCAGCTTTGAGTCATTTACCACCTTTGCAACACATTTCTTCCTACTTCAGGGGCCTCGCACTTTTTTTTCTTTCTGTATTTTGATTATTTAGAGTTGATCCCATCTAATACATGGTCCCTGACAAAGGGCAGACATTGTTCCATAAAGAAAGAGTCGTTTTTGTCCTTCCTTCCTACTGATGAACCACCCTCCTCTCCTCCAGACCTGCTGGCAGAACTCACAGCCACAAGCCACACCCTCGTGCTAAGTGAGTCCCTGAGAGAACAGGAATCAAAGAAGTTTGGTTGTTTTAACCATTTTCAGAAAAATGGAGGCTCTGAATGCAAAATGATGGTCCTAAGGTCATCTGGGGCAAGGACTCATTGGTTCAGTCATTCCCCGACAACCATCACCAGAAGCTTCCTATGCCCCAGAGTGTAAACTCACTGTGAGCAGGTCCCTGCATGACGGCCGCACCTCAGGGCCCAGTAGCTAAGAGCACCAGCTCCAGGTCCCCCAAGAGGATCAGGAAGGCTCCAGGCAGAGCAATGGCCTTCATTCTGGAGATGGAGTCGGGAGGCGGAGGTGAAGAGCAGGGGAGACGGGAAAGACATCCATCCAGTGAGGAGTGGGCCAGCCAAGAGCCCCTCAGCCCTGTGCAGGGAGTCGGATGGTTGGACTCATGGGAAGAGCTCAGTGCCAGGCTGTGTGACAGCTGCCCATGGGGAGAAGGACCCTGCAAGCAGTGAGAACCAAAGGAAATATCCCCGGAATAATGCAGGGACAAATAGTGAGGGCCAGAAGCAGGCTGCTGGCAGGGAGGATGGGACATGTTAGCCTTAGAAGGAATAGTCATGGGGGTGAGAACTGAGCTGGGGAAGCACTGGACATGGGGGTGAGGACTTTGGGGTGTCGACGGTGATCCTTACATTTTGAAGTGACAGTGATGCCCTTGACTGAAATGAGGACAGATGACAACGACCTCTGTTCGGTGAGAAGGTGATGAGTTTAATTTACAATGTGTTGGCTAAAAGATCAAGTCTTATGTTTCTGGTGCTCCACCTTGGAGCCCAGAAGAAAGCCATGGTTAAAACAAGTAATTCCATCGAGACTATCTGGAGAAAGGAGGTTATCAGAGCTCAGAGGCCCACCTGCCTCTTGGAATTAGCAGCACTGGCATTCCCTTATTTGGAGCCCCTTTCTGTCTTCCTTCCCTTTAAGAAGTGACTGAAGTTTAAAGGTGAAAATGACTTTACTAGAAACCACAGTGGCACTACTCCGTGCCTGCTGTTAGCCACAGCTGGGTGGTGGCTGACATTCTTGGGGTTCTGATTCTGCGCCTCATGCTTGCAAGTCCTTGGGCTCATCTGGAGTTAACTTCGTCAGTTTATCCACACAGAGCAGGATGAGGGTGAGAAACCAGAGGCTCCAGCCAACAGCGGCCGCGATCCAGCCGTACTCATCCACTCCAGCGTGGCAACACTGGGATGCTTTTAGGCAGAAGTCCACATCTGGGGGAAGAGAGAGCATCACACCAGCCCACCCATCTCTAATAGTCATAACAACAAGACAATAATAATACAATAGTTAACCTTCATGAAAATATGCCATGTGCTATGCTAAATGTTCTACACATGTTACCTTATTTATTCCTCGTAAAGTGATAGGTGTGGTGGTTAGTCCCATTTTACATGAAGAATCTCAGGCTGTAACTTGCCCAAGGTCATGGGTTGGCAGAACTAGAACTCAAACCTAAGTCTGCAGGACTCCAAAGCTGTGTTCTTAACCTCTACACCTTCTTGCCTATTATTCTTCTCTATAAGTGTCCAGACGTGAACAAACACATTTGGTCATTCAATGAGGGCAGATTAAAGGAAGCCAGACTTAGAATATATTGCAAGACTGTTAATTAGACATCTGCAATAGTGGTGGCTTTATGAAGTACTGCCCTCCTTATGGCTGGAGGTATTCAAGTAGAGAAGAACAGAAATATGCAAAGGGTATGAAAATAAAGTTCCTGCCTTGGGAGCTTCTAGCCGAGTTTTGTGGTCTTTCCACTGGCAAACATCTACAAGTCTCTGAACTCAGGGCATCTTTGGCTCCTGTCATGGGGATGGGTCATTCGAGCTATCTGTGCCAAAGGTGGTGAGCTTCGATGGGGGGGTCAAGGCCAAGATAGCTTTTGGACGGACTCTGCAAACAGTTCTGGAGGCTGTGAACAAACCACACCAGCACCCAGCGAGGCCAGGCCGACACTCAGCCACCCCACGCCACTGAACAGAAGCCAGGAGGCTTGTGTGTCCCTCCCAGACCCAGGGCCAGCTCTGGTTGGGGCAGTTGGCAGACGCTTACTGTGGCACTGTTCCAGAGTCTCAGGATCTGGGTGGTGGTTGGTCAAGGTTGAGTTGTTGCCACTGCTTGCTTCTGGGGAAAAAAAGGCAGAAGACAGTCTGAGTAAATTAGTAGTGAGTACTGTGAAAGGATTATAGACGTTCCAGTCTAGACGTCATGCAGCAAAACTAACTCCTTTCTATGGACTAAATTGTGGCTCCCCCCTCCCCCAAATTCAGATGTTGAAGTCCTAATCCCCCAGTAATGAATGCATCTGGAAATAAAACCTTTAAAGAGGTCTTTCTAACATGAAATGGGGCCATAGGTGTGGGCCCTAATCCAGTATGACGGGTCCTTATAAGAAGAGGAGAGACACAGGGTTGTGCAAGCAGAGGAAAACCACATGAGGACACAGGAGGGAGACCTCAGGAGAAACCAACCCTGCAGACACCTTGCTCGTGGACTTCTTTGTTGTGTCAGCCCTAGCAAACAAATCCTCCCCTTTTTTCCTATGGTGGTCTCTTCTCATTCAGAGCTGCTTTATTTCCATCTCGCATGGTCCCTTACCCAGGGCCTGCCATCTACAGCTTCCCAAACACTCTAATTATCAAATTAGCTGCTTTCTATGCAAATAAATACATAGAAAATGGTTTTTCTAATATATGGTAACAAACTTATTTAAAAATCTGAAGCATCTTTGCATAACTACCTTTAATTCCCTCCAAAACTTTGAACAGCCTGGCCTGTGTGGTACAGTAGTTGAGCGTTGACCTATGAACCCAGAGTCACGGTTTGATTTGTGGTCAGTCAAATTAGTTGCTTTCTATGCAAATAAGTACATAGAAAATGGTTTTTCTAATATATGGTAACAAACTTATTTAAAAATCTGAAGCATCTTTCCATAACTACCTTTAATTCCCTCCAAAACTTTGAACAGCCTGGCCTGTGTGGTACAGTGGTTGAGCGTTGACCTATGAACCCAGAGTCATGGTTTGATTTGTGGTCAGGGCACATGCCTGAGTTGTGGGCTCGATATCTGGGCGGGGGGTGGTGGTGGTGGGGGGAGCAGGCAATGAAGTAGGCAATCAGTGATTATCTCACCACTGATGTTTCTATCTCTCCTTCTCCCTTCCTCTCTCTGAAATCAATCAAAATATATTGAAAACAAAACTCTTGAACAAATAGACATTGAAATCTGACCTTTATTTCTGACAAAGATACTGGTATTACTTCAGCAAGACATGGAAGTGATTATCAGGGGGGAAAAATTAAACACCATATAAACAAATCTAGAGGTTGCTAGAATATGTAGCACTTCAAATTGTCCCTTGGTTAAGAAGTAGAGAGCCCA